CCTTGATATTATTTAGAACCTCAGCTAATGTCCAGGCTATTTCCTAAGGGCAAAAAGCACAAATAAAAGCCTCCATAAATTTTCTTCAGTTTCTGCTTGAAGAAAAGCTAAACCCTTCTCTGTGGATTTGACCTTCTTTAGCTCATCTCATTTTCTTGCTCAGAAAGGTTAACTGTGGTGTGCCATAGCGATAAAGTCAAGACAGCAGGAAGCTCTTACTTTACATCCCACTGGTTAAAATGGACAGCTAAGTTGTACTGAGACGAACCACTCAAGTGGTGGCACAGGAAACTTCCCTAATGGCTCAGGTTCAGCACTTAATTGGGGCTTCTGTTATAACAGACCTCCTTCAGATGTTCTTCTGAAGCAACATCATTTGGAACGAATTAATAGAATATAAGACTATCAATGACTACTAGCCATGATAGCTGTGTATTACCTCCACTGCTGGAGAGGATGTCTCTGTATAGTCCAACCCCCTGCAGTGAAGGAATATGCGGGGATCAAACCTGCAACCTTGGTGTTGCTCTAACCAACAGAGCTGTCTATAAGAATGTCTTTATGAGATGCCTGAAAGTGAAAAGTGAAGATGCTTGCTGAAACTCTGCTGGAGTTGTACTCCACAATATGGAACCAACAATACGAAATGAGTTGAGGACTCTGTAACATGGGGGACAATTTGTGAACACTTTGAATGAATATATTATTTTGGTCACAGACCAGTTCCAGCCCACATCTAATATCAAGGAATTCATAAAACACAATAGGGATACATTTGAATTTGCAATTAGGTATAACTGGGACAATACAGATATAGCAACAATTTTTATATATATATATAAATTAAAACTTAGGAACACTTTCCTCTCTCTCTCTCTCTTTCTCTCTCTCTCTCTCTCTCTTAAACTTGTGCTTGGCTACTTGAGATCACATTTAAGTTGCTCTGTGAATTGCTGCATTGTGTCTTTATACATGGCAGCCTTTAAAGCAGAGGAGAGCCAATTAGATTTTAAAAGAATTTAGAATGCTGATGCTCTGTGGAGAAGCAATGTTGGGCTACAAAACTGCAATATATAAGTAGGTAAGCACCTCTAGGAAATTCCATCTTTAAGTTCCAATAGCTGCCCGTTTAACCTTCAGCCTCTTGCTTTATGGTGTGGCTAAGGGCTATTAATGGAATTAAAATCTTGTGTAATATGCCTGCTTATCTTGTATGCTGCAGCCTATTTAAAGGAATTTGTGAGTTTTAAATTAAATTGAAAAAATTTACTCAAGCAAAGCAATATACATACTTAGCAAATAATAGATAATTAAACCTCAAATCTCTCTGTCGCAGCCTTCCTTTGGATAGACTAGTATGCAGTTTGTTAGGAGAAGAAAGCCATTTAGGGTAACGAGTATGAAACAGCCGTGCTTTGGGTATAAAATTCTCCCAGGGGCTTGTGCTGGATCTAAACCTACATGAAATATTTTGATGCCATTTCTATGGCACTGCAAATGGACTCATGCAGAGTAAAGACTGTGGAGAAAATATGTATTTCAGTGGTTGTGAAAAATATGGAGCCAGAAGGGAAAATAAATGAGACTTAGGTTCATGGTTTCTCCCCTTCAGACAAATGACAAATGGTAAGCCATAGAATAAACCTTGGCTACAGATGGTTTGTCTGGACTGAGATAAGCCATGAGCCAGGGTTTGGATGGCACACTAAGTCAAACCATGGTTCAACAGCATAGCAGTAGCTGGTCAGTCCACAATCTCCTCTCTGGGAGCCTATATTCTTGCACAGGCATAGGCAAACTCGGCCCTCCAGCTGTTTTGGGACTACAACTCCCATCATCTGGTCCTGTTAGCTAGGGATGATGGGAGTTGTAGTCCCAAAATATCTGGAGGGCTGAGTTTGCTTATGCCTATCCTTGCATGTTCCTGCTAAGCCATGGTTTGGCTTACCTTTAAGGGCAAACTGGATCTATAGATGCACACCTAATTCTGATCTTCGGGATTGGAATCACAGTTCTTTGGCTTTTCATGCTGTAAAATTTACTTGGATTTTAAGATCAGTTTATGTTTAAATTGGTGGGATGCAGGTGGTGCTGTGGTCTAAACCACTGAGCCTAGGGTGTGCTGATCGGAAGGCCGGCGGTTCGAATCCCTACAACGGGGTGAGCTCCTGTTGCTCGGTCCCAGCTCCTGCCAACCTAGCAGTTCGAAAGCACTTCCGGTGGGAAGGTAAACGGTGTTTCCGTGCGCTGCTCTGGTTTTGCCAGAAGCGGCTAAGTCATGCTGGCCACATGACCCGGAAAAACTATCTGCGGACAAATGCCGGCTCCCTTGGCCAGTAAAGAGAGATGAGCGCCGCAACCCCAGAGTCGTTTGCGACTGAACCTAACTGTCAGGGGTCCTTTACCTTTTTTATCTTTATGCTCAAATTAGAAAATGTAGGTGCTGAAACTTTCCAACATGAACGTCTCCAGATGCCACACCAATAAGATGCTTCCAGACATCACATCAATAAATCCATAAAGTACTTTGTACCTTAGCAAACAGTACTAAAGCAACATTTCCCTGCCAGAAAACAGTAGGAGCAAGCAAGACCTTAAAAAGGTCGGCATAGCAGTAATCAATGATAATTAAATTTATCTTTAAACTACCTGATTTGCTCACATGTTCTGAGCTCTTCCACTAGAGATACATTAAGTTATGTGTGATGTTCATTTTAAATTACAGAGAAGATATCTGTTGCTTGATAAAACAAAAGCATCCAGAAATTAATGATGGCAAGAAATCCCATTGCTCCTATAAAAATGCATCACATTTTGAACAGTTAACAACTACTGGGAAAAGTCAGTTAAACCTTTAAGATACGCATTTGGGGTAGGTTTGTGGGTATGGCAGAAGGAGATAGGATCTGCCCATGTGATGCCCACCTGGTGGAAACTCTAGCTCACATGGCCCTTAAATGTAAAATGTGTGAAGAAGATCAATATGAGGGGGAGGTGGATAACATATGGGAATTTGATTGTTAAAGAAGGAGGTAAATGGAAAATGAAACCATATGATGAGGTTAAAGAACACATTAATGATTGGTTGCATTATTATCAGGTTAATGAAATGTTTAAAAAAGAGGCAAAAGGGAAAGGTTATTCTGAAAAAGAATAGAAATTTCAAATGGAGATATTGAATAATGACTTTAAAATTTTGTCTAAGATGTATAAATTGCTTCTAGAATGGTATACTAAAGATGAGGAAATTAAATCGGTTATGATACATTGGGCCAGAGACTTTGGATATAATATTCAGTTATGTGATTGGACAAAATTATGGAATGAAAGGTTAAAATTTACGGCCTGTACTGCGCTAAAAGAAAATGTTACGAAAATGGTATATAGGTGGTATATTACTCCAGTAAAGTTAGCAAGAATGTATAAAGTGTGCAATAAATGTTGGAAATGTAAAGAAAAAGAAGGAACATTTTATCATATGTGGTGGGAGTGTAAAAAGGTGCGAAGCTTCTGGGAAATGATATATAATGAATTGAAAAAAATGTTGAAATATACATTTGTTAAGAAACCAGAGGCATTTTTGTTAGGAATGGTAGGAAATGAAATAAACAGAAAAGACTGTAAACTTTTTTTATACGCAGTAACAGCGGCAAGGATATTACTGGCCCAAAAATGGAAACAAGAAGAATTACCAACGATAGAAGAATGGAGGATGAAATTATTGGATCCGGAACCTACGGGATCACAGGTTCACCGAGGACTGGAGTAAATTTATAGATTATTTGAAAAGTATATGTGATGAACAAATAACGTTTGTTGGTTTGCAAGAAGCTCTGTGAAGAAATAATATTAGAAATATTGTAAAAAAGGGAAAAAGAGAGAGGAAAGGTTATAAATATAAGGCAATATAAAATTAAGAAACGCGTGATAAATGGTCAAAACGGAGGATTATCAGAAGAGCTGGGGGAAGTCCAAAAAAGAATGTATTTATGAGAAAGTGTGTATTATGTTGTTTTTTGCAAATTTGTATTGAAAAATTTAATAAAAATATTTATAAAAAAAAATATGTAAAATGTATAATGATCTCCGCCAACAATTTTTAGACCATCTGTGTATTCCAACATGGAAACCAGAGACAAAGGTTATTACAGGGGGAAAACCAGGAGCTCACCAAGACAGTAGCTAAGTTCCTCTATTTGATTTTTTTTGTCGCTGAAGTACACTACAGGATCCTGCCCTTGCTGGAGACCCACAGAGATGAAATAGATTGCTCGCCTCTTCTTCCCTTTGGCAAATGACTGTACTGTTGAAATGGCGACGAGATCGCACTGGCCTATTTATTCTGAATGTTTGTAAGTGATGCCAATAAAGGTTTCATGATGATGATGATTTTAAATACTAAGTTTACGATGTAGCTACTACCCTGCTTGGCCTTTCTTTTGGAAAAAATTGGTCACCTAATGTCATCATGATTTGACAGAGACCCGCTGTCCTTAGTAGGACAGTGTTATTTTTGTCTTATAGACCATAACCTGTGCATGAGGCTATAGGAACCCGAGCTCCCATCATGGCCAGGCCAGCAAAGCAGGATCCTTTGCAGTATCTGTAGACATGCAGTGTCTTCTCCAGCTCATGTACAGTATGGCCTGGCCCTATCACAGGTCTTTGTGCCATGTTGCATTTCCCCAGGATTCCAATGACTCACTCAGATTTCCTCTACAGACTCAATAGCAAAGGGAAGAAAGAGAATGTATTTTGTTGTCAGTAGCAGAAGAAAAGGAATTGAATACATTCATGGGAAGGAAATGTATATGGCAGTCTGGTGAGCACAACCCCAATATGACTGAGAGAAGCTCCAACCAGGACATGGGGCCCACCTGTACTAAAAAACTGTAGGAATATATAAGCCATATATACATACTGAGTCTGACCACTGACCCATCTGGCTCAGTATCTGGTGGGCTTTTCAGGGTTTCAGACTGGAGTCTCTGAGTCCTACCTGAAGATTCTGGGGATTGAACCTAGGAACTTCTGTACGCAAAACAGATGTGTTCCACCACTGAACTATGGCCCTCCCCTACCTTAAAGTTCTCATTTGCAAGTGTGCTGTTTGCATGGATGGTGGTAGTGGTGGGGCAGTCTCAGCCAGCTGACACCTCCCTATCTGCATGGTGGCAAGGCTCCAGATAGGGTGGCCTGATAGAAAGAGAACAAGGGCTCTTGCACCTTTAATAGTTGTGTGGAAAAGAGAACCTCAGCACCCGCAGACTGCATGGCAAGGTTGCCCTGCTAAACCCTCCTGTTCTGTGCAACTATTAAAGGTGCAGGAGCCCTGCTGACTTTTTCATCTGGCCACCTAAGCGCCACACAATAGGTGGCCCTGCCTTTTCAGGGTTGCTGATCATGGTTGGTGACACCTGGCTTGAGAGCAGTACATGTGAAAAGGATCTAGGAGTCTTGGTTGACCACAAACTTGACATGAGCCAACAGTGTGATGCGGCAGCTAAAAAAGCCAATGCAATTCTGGGCTGCATCTATAGGAGTATAGCATCTAGATCAAGGGAAGTAATAGTGCCACTGTATTCTGCTCTGGTCAGACCTCACCTGGAGTACTGTGTCCAGTTCTGGGCACCGCAGTTCAAGAAGGACACCGACAAACTGGAACGTGTCCAGAGGAGGGCAACCAAAATGGTCAAAGGCCTGGAAACGATGCCTTATGAGGAACGGCTAAGGGAGCTGGGCATGTTTAGCCTGGAGAAGAGGAGGTTAAGGGGTGATATGATAGCCATGTTCAAATATATAAAAGGATGTCACACAGAGGAGGGAGAAAGGTTGTTTTCTGCTGCTCCAGAGAAGCGGACACGGAGCAATGGATCCAAACTACAAGAAAGAAGATTCCACCTAAACATTAGGAAGAACTTCCTGACAGTAAGAGCTGTTCGACAGTGGAATTTGCTGCCAAGGAGTGTGGTGGAGTCTCCTTCTTTGGAGGTCTTTAAGCAGAGGCTTGACAACCATATGTCAGGAGTGCTCTGATGGCGTTTCCTGCTTGGCAGGGGATTGGACTCGATGGCCCTTGTGGTCTCTTCCAACTCTATGATTCTATGATTCGGGGCCCTGGTACAAATGGATCCACACAATTTTTAATCGCATGGTGGGTGGTGGTAGGAGAGCTTGCCGCTGCCTGCCATCTATATTTACAGTCAACATGTGGACAAGAGCCCTAATGTATGAGGAGGCCTATTGAAATACACAGAACCTACTTTGTCATTGATTCCGTTGCTTGCCTGACTGCCATAGACACTTAAATTAGAGCTCAAGTGGAAAAGTCTGATTGCTCCCCAGTGGCTAAAGAAGTCCCAGCTTGCCCAGCTAAAAGCCATTTTTCCAGTTCTCTGTCAGATAGACCAGCCACCCTCATCTGTCATGGCACAATGTAATTAGTTCCAGCTGCTGACTTTCCTGCTAAGGAATGGATGCTGAAATAGGAAGGGACCCTATCCCCCAAGTCCTCAAGAACACAGGACACAATACAAAAACAATACTTAGTAGCAACATGGTGCTTTTCCTAAGCACCTAAAAGTGTTTCCCTTACATTATATCAGGGGTGGGTTTTTTATAACCCTGAAAGGCAAGTCAGTATTATTATCCTCTTATTACTGATGGAGGGCCAGGTGAGAAACATAATGGCTCTCCAAGAGCCACCCATTGGGCTGATTAACACTAAACAATGGTTTAGTGCTAAAACGAGCTTCAAGTTCACGCAATTCCCCTCCTCCCACATGGCTGGGGGAAGGACTCTGCTAGCACTGATTTCAGTTTCAAAGGATCCTGACTTAATACATTAAGTATAAACCAAAGATTGTGTTTTAAAGCAAACTCTGGTAGGTTTCTGAATAAGCCGCCTTGTCTAATTAGCCAGAGTTTGCTTCAAAGCTTGGTCTTCGGTTCATATGTAGTGCCGAGCTGCAGTTCCATGGAAACTGAAAGTAAATGCCAGTGAAGTCCTTCTCTGGGCTACATAGGAGGAGCAAAGGAGACCATGTGTGAGTGGGTTCCTCCCTGTTCCTGTACATATTGCTAAACCATAGTTTGTTGGGAACTGGGCCAATGGATTAGGGTTTGTTGGTTTCAAGTCCCACCTTCAATAGAAGGGGTAATAGTACAAATTGTACAGGGGTGAAGTGAGGATTACTGAGAGAATGGATGTGAATGCTTTTTAATACACAACAACAGAAACCTGATATACATTGTCTGCTAATTTTAAATAAGCTCTTCAGTAAAGCTTGTAGACAGCTTACAACAGAGAAGACCCACACACCCATACAATATATCAACAATAAATAAAAACCAGTAAGTAGACACTTAAGAAAGCAGCACTTCAAATCATAAAATTTAGTGGAAGAAATAAAACAAAACCCAAGAATAGCTTGCAGATGTGTGTGTGTGTGTTTATGTATGTATATGTATAAAATGTATGAGCAAATCAAAATGTGATGTGGGAAATACTTCACAGTTGGCACCAGGCCATCATTCTTAGAGAGGGCATTCTACAAGAATTACTGCTCCAATTTACTATGATTGTGTCTGATCTGATACTTTGGCTTATGGTTCACACTTTTACACACTGCACCACAATAGTTATCAGAAGCCTTTTGCACTGTGCCTTTGCGGAGTTGGAGATACACTGAAGGAATTGGAGAGACAGTTGGCCCTTGGCAGTGGAAACTGTAGCTAAACCAACATCTAAAACACAAAGCATTAAAAAACCCTGAACGGTAACTTTTACTATCAAAAACTGCACCACAGAATAATATAGTGTTCATCCCCCACATTCCCTCACTCCAGTTCAGCCAGTGAAAACCTGATTGGAAATTCTTCTTCACCATGCCCAGAGTAAATGTTAGCTTTATTTAGGATGAAAGGCTCCTGTGAAATATCATGGGTGGCCAATTGAAAAATGGAATAATCTTGCGTGGATGAGGATTTGAAGGACAAATACCCTGCAAAATTACCCTAAGTATAGAGTCTCAGAATATCCAAACCCTTCTGTATGCAACCAGTAAAGCCACCCAAATTTTGTTCTCATGTCCGCTTGACTGTGCCAAGTGTTTTATGATGCATGAAACCATGCTACAAGTAATTTACAGAGCTTGGAAAAATAGTGTGCAAATAGTGTTGCTGTCTGACTGTCATTTGCTATTTATAAAAAATAATCTTATGAGACAAATAGGGTGCTGATCTTCGTTTGCTTAATACAGTCTACATGACATTAGCAGTGTTCCCTTGCTAAAACTGATTAAAAGCCTGGATTAAGATAACTGATGGCCATACAAAATAAGAGCCAAAGCAATGGGTGTGGCAATGGAAAGGAGCCAGCATGGTGGTGTGGGGTCAGAGGAGGGATGGGCTAAATTTCAAAAGCCCTTGGCAAGTGCCTCTGGCAAGAGTGATCTGACTCACTCCCAGGAACCTGCTGAGTGGAGAGGGAGTGCAATGGTGGACCTGCAGAATTGTCCACAGTTAAGATTTTGCAGGCTACTGACACCAATTGAGTTGTTCATGCCGAATGGATAGCTCCCATGAGTGAAAAAGGTAGTTGAATGCACAATCCATTGAAAGACAGAGGGACAAAACATTAGGAACAATCCTAACCCTAATCCTAATCCTAATCCTAATTCCTAATCCTATCTATGATGCCACCTTTTTGCTATTTCAGCCTTTGGCAACCTGATATTTTAGACCACTACTCCCCATCAGCATGGCTGATGGGAGTTGTAGTTCAAAACAACTGGATGGCGCCAGGCTGCGGAAGATTGCACTACATTGGTACCTCAGGTTAAGAACTTAATTCGTTCTGGAGGTCCGTTCTTAACCTGAAACTGTTCTTAACCTGAAGCACCACTTTAGCTAATGGGGCCTCCCACTGCCGCCACTGCTGTGCAATTTCTGTTCTCATCCTGAAGCAAAGTTCTTAACCCGAGGTACTATTTCTGGGTTAGCGGAGTCTGTAACCTGAAGCGTCTGTAACCTGAAGCATCTGTAACCCAAGGTACCACTGTATTTATTTGTTAGGAGCAAGCCAATATGAGAATTATTTGCTGGTTTGTTATATTTTGGTTACTGTTGCCTACAATGTGCCTACAACTGTTGTCCGCCTAATGACTCTGATATTTGATTGGCAACTTCTGAGGCAAGAGTACTTGTTAAGATGCATTTAGAATTCTGCTGCATGAACCAAATTGATAGGACGACAGGTAGAACCTGAAAATTAGCTTCAAAGCAACAATCTTGGACTTGGGTTATATAAAGCTTGCGTCTGTAATGAGTACATCAAAAACCATTTCAGTGCGACAAAAGGCTATTTAGATGACGAATTGGGATGTTTCCCAACTGAGTGAGGCCTGGCAACCACAGCACAAACAAACATGCAACTCCACAGGAGAGGAGCTGCTTATGGACTTTAAGGTTGCCTTTGAAAACAATTTGAAAAAAGAAAAAGAAGGAGATTGATTTCTAAGAGGCATCCAACTGTGTGAATTCATTGATGCTGACTGGCGTATGGCTAAATCTTTTCATGTCTTTTTGAAAATATAATTCACCTTTCCGCTGAATGACACACACAGGAAACATTATGCATTTAGGCTTTCAACTTTTACATTTTAAAATGTTAACTAGTTTCACACCCTCCAAGAACACATTGCCAGTTACTGGAAACCACAGGAGCAGAGTGTCTGTTTGGGTCTTGTTTGTAAATTTCCCACAGGCATCTGGGGCCACGGTGAGAATAGGATGCTAGACTAGATTGATGAGTTTCCTAATCCAGCAGATTTTTCTTATATTCTTATTCAGCTACACACTACAGAAGCTTTTCTGCGACCCAGTGGCATGTGTTTATATTCCTGGACAAATTTGAGTTTGGGAATGCGAAATTTATCCCCAATTAGCAATAAATCAAGTTATATATTAAGAAATTCCCACTTTCAGCAGATGTGGGGTTGAATTAAGTCTCTGACAAGTTGTCATCTTTACACAGCATAGTTCTGCACTGGAGACAATACAATTCAGTGGGTGAG